CATGTAGCTATAATATCTTTTGCAGGAAAAACTGCAATGTGCGGTATTTAGTTTCTCCTCTTCAAAGTCACTGTCTAATTGGCAATGCAGTGCACAGCATTGCTGCTCCAAGATCCACTAGGTTGATTTTGACGATGACATTTTTTCATTTCTTTTAACAATGATGAAAACAAAATCATGTTATGCCCGAGCTTGCTGACATTTGAATCAGGGGGACAGATCAAAACCATAACTAGATCAAATAAATCAAATAGAGTCAAATTCAATGAATGAAATATGATTAGTGGGGTTACAATAATGCCTTTAAACTCAGAAAGATGCATTCTATGCGCATGCGCACGTTTACTATGAACATATTAATATTGCACTATGGGTCAAGCGATGAACCTGTTTGACCCGGCGATGAAATGATTGAACTTGACCTACACAGTACGGCACAGCGGGCTACAACGGGCCTGTGTGTCTGGCTACGCACGTGGAGGTGATACACTTTAGCGCTAAGCCACTGAAAATGTTTTTTTTTTTCTTTTTCGTGTGCAGCCGGAGAGCCACCTTACCGAGTAACAAGTGCCCGTGGCTCTGCATTAGCCAACGATCTCTTTCACTTACAGTGCATCCCGGCGGTCTCTCCATTCACAGTGGATAAGCCGCAGAGCGCATAGACGGAGAATAATGACGTTGAGCATGCACAACAACTGCCTCCCTGGGAGAGAGGGCCCCCCCGGGGGAGCATTTTGCAGTCGGACCCAACTAAACATCATTACAACCTCGTGCGAGGCCTTGACCAAGAGAGGTGACGACTGGATGAGTGGACGGTGGGGGTTGAAACGATGGACGGAGGGCTGCGAATAATAAATAATGACTGTTCTAGTTTCCCACAGACGGATGAGTGCTTGTTTTCCCAGCAATACAACCCCCAAATATATTGTGTTAAATGTCATATGAAACAAAAACAACATTTATCTAACGAGAGGTGGGAACACATTTTTATTGTTGTATCTCTCCATGAATGAACTGTTGATGGCTGAAATGCAAAAACACATGGAGGAGTCGCCGTGGGTTAATATATTGAACACAAACACCTGGTTGTACTTTATAGATGTTAACAATCGTTGCATTTACCTGCAGGACAATACTATTCATGATGTTGTCATGAATTGCTACTAGCCATGAATTTAAACCTCCCAATTAGTAGATATTGACGAAACACAAATCTGACAGCAAGAGAAGTGAAAGTTATTAAACACGGGCACAGAAAGAAAGAAAAGATCTTGTCCTTACTTATAATGATGTTAACAAATTTATTTATGCTATTTATGGTTGGCCTCTCATCAGCAATAGCCATTGCATTAATTAACATGCTAGTGGCTCAACCCATCATTCTCATTGAAATTGCTTCAAACACGCAAGGGAGTCGCGGGGAAATGATGTGCATGTAATCTAGATTTATCGCTTTTAATTTCATCTCGCTGATAACGGCCTCACTGTTTACGGTCCACCCTTCGAACGCCGTATCAGAGCTGCTGATGTAAACAGGACGTTTCCTCCTGCCGCTGCTTCACATTAAAAGTGCTCAAATGGTGAAACACGGGCGGCTTTTTATTGCAAAGCATTCAATGAAAAAATGTCTTTGTTACCAACATTCGCTGTGTTATCAAAAAAGCTGTTTATATAACAAGGGTTAGGAATTAAATTGCGGTTGAGCTTCTTATTGACTGACTTTTTTGTCTAAGTTTGTAAATAAAGCTTTTTTTATAATATTTGTCTATTTTAAGTGACGTACCTGTACTATACATTTGTTCTTGTACTTTTGACACAATTCTCTTTCTCTGCATGTGATCAATAAAATGTCCATCTAACCCAACAGTGGCGATAATAATAATAATACTCCAGACTGTGGTCCACGTGGAGCGAGCCGGTCTGCTGACCCGCTCAGCTAACGGTTGTACTGGCAGAACTCATGAGCAATACTCAATTATGCACACGTTACGAAAAACTACTCACCCATTGAACCGCAGCGAATAAACTGAACTGACACGTTAATGAGTGACTGAGTACATAAATGAAAAACTGCAGACGGTAACAAACGTTTGGAGAGGCAGCGTGAAATCACTTCTGCTCGCTAAACAACAACAGAGAGCAGCTCCACAAACAAACGAGTGCGCCGACCGCCCGAGCAAACATGCTCCGCGCTGTAGCTCGGCATCGTCACGGTGACGGGATCGATACCTTACATGATTCGGAAGGTGGGAGAAAATGTGGAACAACGTGGAGGATATGTAAAATGGTGCTCGCCGCGTTTAAACACCGGCGTCTCAATGACGACCTGAAATAAAAACGAAGCACAAGAATCCATCATCCTGGGCCCGCCGAGGAAGCAGCTCTTCGCTTCAGGTGTCCAACATCCTGCATCACAACACCTTTCAGACAGTAACAGCCTCCCCGCTCTGCCATCAAAGCCCGTCTGTGCGGGGAGCCAACGGTTCACTGAAACTTTGCCTCCGCTTCAGCTCAGCTCGTGATTGCATCCCACCTCCTTGCACCGCTGACAAATCTGTGGATAATTAACAATACGGTGGGAGAGCAACATGGCAACAAAATGGAAATCTGGCTTTGACTCAACATGCATTCGCTTCTTCCCCTAAAACGTTTTTTTTTAATTCATCTGAGAACATGAATTATATCTTTTATCTTTGCATGCTATTATTATATATGAATACAAATAAAGGTGCGCAGTGCGAAAATAAACACACATCTCCACCCGGACGCTGTGGGTAACTCTCCCGGGCTGTGACCCAGCCATGTAATGAAGGCTATAAATCAGCACCTCGGACAGCGCTCGGCAGCGCTGAGCTCCTGGATGTACATGCTACTGGAGTCAGGCGAGGGATAAAGGGGGGCGAGAGGGGGCGAGGGGAGGATTTCAGCACCGGGGGGGGGCGGACAGCGACAGCCTCTGACAATCCTACTGTAAAGAGGCGAAAAGCCCTCCCTATCTGCAGCCGGCCTGCATAGTACTGATGACTAAACAGTTATTCAGGTTGTTGCACAGCTAGCTTAGCAGGCCTGTGATTCAGATGAAAGGGATGAGGGGGTAGCGTGTGTGTGTGTGTGTGTGTGTGTGTGTGTGTGTGTGTGTGTGCGAGAATGAGGTCCTATCCTGAGAGATGCTGCTACTGCGGAGTGACAAAAAAGAGAGAGGGATCGGGAGAGAGTGACAACAGGAACAGAGAGACGTGTTGAGGAGGAGGAGGAGGAGGAGGAGGAGGTGGTGGTGGGCACTTATCCGCCTCTCTGAGGGTCCCAACTCGGCTCTTTACGCGTTACACGTGAAGGTTACATCTATGCATCACCCTGGAAAAGATGAAAAGGGACAGCGTGGCGGATGAAAGAGGCATCTACATGAAGCAGAAGGAGGCGACGAGTGTCACGTCTCCGTTTCTACATGCGTGCTGACTTTAAAACCCGGCTGAGGGCACGCGTGGACGCATGCACGTATGTTTAAAATGGTTCATTCGGTAGAAGCGCATACAGAGCTGGCAACGCTCAAGTAATCTGGTTAGTTTAACACGTCTCCGCGCTGCGCTGTGTGGCTCCACGTAATGCTCGCCGGTTTCCATTCGTCGCACTTAGAAACAGGGTCATCGCACTCCGTCGGCGACTTATCACAACCGCTGGCCGTGCAGACCATTGTAATCCCCCTCCCCACACACACACACACACTCACACACACACACACTCACACACACACACAAAAAAGAGAGATGCCCGCATTAAGTTAAATATTTATGTTCCCAGCGCTGGTCTATTTTTATCATTAAGCCCTCACAGGTAGGAGAAGCAGCCCAGTGACTGTTCTCTCATCCGTAACCTGTCTGTCCAGAGCATCCCTGAGAGCCCTGACGAACAACAGGGAGATTGGTACCGCAGCGCAGGACGGGGGGGACATGAAAGGGCAAGAGAGAGAAAAGCTTGAGAGCGAAAGGAAGAAAACGAGGGCAGCGGAGGAGAGAGCCGGGCCTGAGCGAGAGAGAGAGAGAGAGAGATGTGCGCGGAGCAACAAACAATCCTCAACATAAAGCACACAGAGGGAGAAACTAAGTCTGCCGCAGACTGATCTTCACCTCAGAGGAGCTAGACGGCTTCCAGAGAGGTTGCCTGACCAAACTTATCTGTATCTCGCTGAGAGGGATACGCTCGGTTCCCGGATGGGCCCCGAGAAGGTGTACTGTAAGAGCACACCGCTCTGCACAAACCAGCAGCCCACAGGTTTCCCCGGTCCGAGCGATGGGGATTCGATGGAGGGCAGATTTTGACAGCTGGGAGGGGGGGGGGGGGGGGGGATTAGCAGCGACGGGGGCTCGGTATCTGTTCAATTCTGAGTGGCTGTGTGTATGTACATGCCAGTGTGTGTGTGTGTGTGTGTGTGAAAGAAAAAACGTGCACGTGCCCGTGCTGCCCGTCAACCCAGTGCCATGTGTGCTGGGGGCGTTTATGTTGGCCATGAAAACTGAACCGAAAAACGCGCTCTGGATTGTACGTATGGATGTTTGATTGCACGTCTCGGTTTGTGAGCGGGCCTATTAATGTGTGCGTGTGTGTGTGTGCGTGTTCTGGGCAAAGCTGTAATGCCTTTACACCGACCATCCACGGTACGGAGTGAGCCCATTACTATTCCTGTCACAACAGCCTTGCAGTATAGCAGCAGGGGAAGAAAGCGGCCAAATCGCACTGTACAGTGCTGTAACACGCACACGCACACACACCGCCTTCCATGACGGTTCACTCAGATCGGCGCAAACCCAAATTGGGCATGTGGCGTGCTTCACGGGGCACTTCATGTGCCGCACACACACACACACGCACGCACGCACGCACACGTCCCCTCTGCGCGTTAGCGTGGGCAGACGTGCGGTACATCTATGCGCCTCAGGTCGCCGTGCCGTCGCCTGCCGTTTTCTGCCTATCTGCTCCTGCGTGTGCACATTCCCGTCACTCACCCTGGCTCTGCGCTCCCCCGTCTCCCTCCTCTGTGTCGGTCAGGTTGTTAAGCATCCCGGCTCCTCTACGGCGCTCCTCCTCTGCTGCGGAGCGGTGTCACCGATCGAGCTCTCGGCGGCTCTTCCCTGCGCTCCACCCACTGTGATGCAGCCGCAGAAATCGCAGGGAAAAGCAGCGTAGAAAATGTGCCGGCCGGATCCTCCTCGCTCCGCGCTGCCCGTCGGATGCACGAAGAGAGGCGGCAGAAGGGAGAGAAGGATTTATTTTTTCTCCCTCCCTCTCTAGATCCTCCTCTTGACGTCTCTTCTCCGCTGGCTTGTAAGCGTGACTCTCTCTCTCTCTCTCTCTCTCTCTCGCTGTTGCTGCCCCCCCCTTTCTCTCTCTGTTGCTTTCTCTCCCTACATGAGGAGGAGGAGGAGGAGGGAAGCTGCAGGAGTTGGGTGATGATGGAGCGCCTCAAAGCTGCACACTTGCTCGCTCTCTCCCTCCTCCTTATTTTTTTTTTTTGTCTTTCTTTTTTCCTGCTCCTGATCTCGATCTCTCCCACTCACGGACACGAGAAGCAAACACACTCACTCTCACCCTGCTCGGATAATGTTGCTCAGTCACTGTAGCTGCCGAAGTGATTGCACATCCAAGCACTAGTGCGGTTGCTTCTCCATCTATTTCTGCGCTCCCTCCCCTCATCGCGGCTGTCAGACACGGAGGTGATTGGGGGAAGTGGAATTGATGGTGTTAAAGAGGGCGTCTGTCCACACAGGTGCATTATGCATCGGCCTCCCCCCCCCCATCCTCCTGTCAGCTTTGCAATAAGCCGACGGCGCTCGCTCCCGCACCTTAATGTCAGATGCAAATGGAGCCTCGGTTTCCATCAAGGGGTGAACGAGCACTATTGACATCATCAGCATGCAGGTGAGATAAACACGGAGAGCCTTGCACTCGCACACTTGTAAAAGACACACTGTGTCAGCAATACCAGCCTCCCGTTGCTTAAACCGGAGAGAAAGATTCTGCGTCCTTTTTCTTTTGACTTCTTAATTCTAGTGGAGATGCTCGTTTCCCAACAGAGATGCTGCACGGCGTCGGCATTGGCAGCATAGAAGCCTCGCTGTCAATCAGGTCCCACGGAGATTCATCTCGCTCTGGTACGCCGTGCGCCGTGTGCAGAGACACGTGCCTCTGTCTCTATGTGTGTCCCGGCAGTTTGCGATCCCACGCCACAGATATGAAAGCAATTAATCTCGGTTTTAGTCATGGTAGCGCTGATGCACAGAATAGATTTGGACAAAGAGAAAGGGAGGAGAAATATCACTGGCTCCAGGGAATAAATGTGTTACCGATTGCCTCAAACAATGCCAAGGTACCGAGAACAACCAATACCTTGAAGCTGGGTGACACATTTCTCTACTGAGCTGTGTGTACGGATGCACTCCGCTCTCTTTGTTTATTAGTACTCGCGTCAGAGCCGGCAGTTTGTTTGTAACAACATCAGACCCGCACAAATTGAATTATCCACGAGGGACGAGCCTTTGCGTTCAATTGAAACATTCGGTTCAGTTGTGTCCCCGAATAGCCGGTTGTTAATGCTCCATGTACATTGTGCTAAGCGTAGTATCAAACCAGCCGTCTGTTTAATGTGCATGAGCACGGCGGGATATCAGGCTGATAAGAACCCCGGCTTCACTGGAAACACGGGAAACAGGTTTTCATTGTTTGTTTTAGTTTACCTTTTGGAATTAGATTAAAACGTGTGTAATCAACAACAACACAATTGCATTATTTACTGTAATAATGGCTACTTTGTGGATATGCTACGTGGATGCACATGTGACATAGTGACTCCTGAGATGAGAAGGTTTCTATGTAGCCGGTGTTAAACCTTATGAACAAATGACGGAAAGGTAATTTAGTACGACAACAACTCAGAAGAGCCCGACTCAAGTGCTGCTGCTACACTAATGTGCAACACACCCTTTTTTTTTTTTTAAACGAGATGATCTATTCAGGCTCTCGATGCAAAGGTCACTCTGCCTCAGGGGCTTCTGCGACACTGCGACGCCGCATCACAGCAGCAGCTACGGCCTACATCCATTACAGCATCCACCTGTAGACTCGTGCGTCCTATAAAAGTGTGTTGTAGCGAGGTTAGCATCACTACCGATCTCGCTCTGTCTGTCTGTCTGAGCAGGTTTAGTCTGAATGACAGCCGGGGCATCAAACATGTACTAACCGCACTCTGAGAACACGCTGGAGAATTGCGCGGATCTTTTCGTTTGATCGGTGGTTAAAATGGTCCCAGCGCTGAGCTGGATGGAGGAGAGGGAAGGAGGGGACAGGGACAAGGTCGAGATATCACCTAAACAGGACGGGAGACAGGTGAGAACATGAAGCTATCAGGCAGACGGTGGCGACGACACGCATCGCAATTCCCAACGCCTGCTAACCATTTAGAGAGAGTTGTGCGCTGCATCCGTCTGCCTGTCACCGCCGCCTCCACACACTGGATTGTCACAAAAACACGACGCAAAAGCGCCGCGGCATAGACGATGGCGTCTGCGCGTTAATGAAATAAACGAAGCAAGGCTTTTGGACCGGAAATGTGATGATTTGCCGTCAAAATGTCTCCGCGCCAATCGTGTCTCGTGTCTTGTGTCTTGTGTCTTGTGTTGGGTAACGAGAATGCGTCGTGCTTGGAGGCGATGACAAGGAGGGATGCACGAGGAGGACGGGAGACGAGCATCGGGGGCACTGGAGCAGAGGGGCCCGTTGGCACAGCAGCACTTTTCCAATAAAGACACCGAACAAACTGAGACTTGACTCACAATCAAAAAAGATGTACTGATAAGGCTCCGCTGAGTTGTAACAGAACGCTTCTAAAAGTCGCCCTTAGGATGCAAACCCTGTTCGCGAGGTGGCTGGCTTAAAAAGTGCCCCTTGATCCTCCAAAGAAGCAACTACGACTGGTCTGTTTCACTTACAAGTCACATGCAAAGGCTTTCCGGAAGTAAATTCAACACTATTGTTCATTTTGTCATATTTGTCATTCATTTTGTCAACCACAGCCACACGAGGGTCAAATAAATGCCATTCAAATATGTTCTATTCTGTGCATGTTCTTCTGACTCATCGTCTTATTTCTTAAGCATCACGGCTCGCTGACAACAGAGTCTCTTCTCCAAAACAGGGTCCGGTTATTGGATTAGCACAAACCCTCACAACACTCAGACGCTGCCGGAAGAAAATCGGTTTTACAGGACGGGAAGTCGAGGCAGTGAAACCTACGACCACAGTGGCTGCATGTCAATTTACAACCACACTTAAATTGGCACAGACAGACGGAGAGAGCGAAGTCGAGGTGGGTATTTACAAATAACAGAATATTATGACTCAATGCAGATGTATGAGTCACTAGCTTTCCTGTTGCACATGTTATCTCTGCCTGATTACATGCGTGTGAGCCGGCATTCATGTGCGAACATACTTGTGCCCAATTTCATTTGTGTTTTTTTTTCCCTCAGAGGAGAACTTCTACTACCAATAAATCCCCTCGGAGAGAACGGCTCTAAAAGGTTTTCGGCGACAGAAACGCTGCATTTATATTTTCAAGGGGTTCGATTGCAGGCTCCTTTAAATGTCATGAACTCAGAGCTGGAACAGGATAATCATTGTTGAGCCACGTTTAACTAAATGGAACCATGCTGAGGTCACGTTGACCCGGTCTGCTTTTCTTTCTCAAGAGCGCACTGATGAAGCAGGGGAACTCATTCGCTCCAAATACTTTTAATGACGACAGGCCGGGGTTAAAAAAAAAAAAAAAAAAAGACCTTCAATTATGGTGCTGACCTCTTGTGACCTTGTGTCAACAAAAGGAGCAAAGGTCGAGAAAGAGACAAAGGAAGGGCCTTCAAGAGAAATGGATCGGAGGTCCTTCATAAAACAACGAGATGAAGACCAAACTGAAGAAGATGTGACTTAATGCATGTGAGATTACACTAGAATAGAGTGTCGCTTCCACCAAACCTTAAACCATGTAACCAAGAGTAATGCAGGAATGAGTTTTCCATTTTCCGCATTAATCCAATAGAAAAAAAAATCTTCTTTTCTTTGAGCGAATCGGTACAAGAAGTACATCAACTCCTCGCACCGCAGGATATTACAGACCTACCGTCTTGTAATAAATCCCCAGATCTGGTACCTTCGAGACCGGGACCAGACAGAGGGACGAATAGAGGTCACACGGCGTCACGTTCTCTCCCCGCTGAAGGAGCCCGGGTGGTTATGGGATGAGACGAAGACGGCGACCATCTCCGGCCTACAGTGTCAGTGGCAGAGACGCGTCTCCTGGGCCGGTTGTGGTTTCTTGGGCCGCTGCCAGATAATTATGGTCTGTCTGAGCACCTCCGAACATTGACAAGGACACGCTGTGTTTGACAGTATCCAGCTGCCGGCCCGGCAGCTGAGGTAAACCTCAACTGGAAGCAAACGATACAAGAAGGAGACTAAACGCAAACTTAAAAAAGGTGTTTTAAAAGGCGGTTATTTGCGGCGGAAGCAGTGTCAATAAGCTCTGAAATGAAACGCCATCGAAAATATTCTGTCTGAATTCCCTCAGTGTCTAAAATCAAACAAATATTTTTAGTGAGAGGAGGCACTTGCACGTTAATAATGCAAAACACCGTCTTTCTTGATCCGTCGAAAAAATTAAATAAACAGCCAGAAATGGCTGAGTCAGCATTAGACACATCTAAGCCCCCCATTCCCACAAATGAACCATGCTCACAACAGCTTTGTCCCGCAATCAAAGCACGGGGCCGAAGCCATCGCGCTAAACGTGTTATTACATTTTATGGTTAGTCTGCTCAGAATGTCCCTCATAAGTCAGATCTTTATTCGTCTGCGATGAATCTAACTGAAGCTGCATTGTGATGAATAATGCATTTTGGTTTTCGGGCTCAGTCATTTTGGGAATGAAATATGCAAACATGAAGATGAATTCTATAAATACAAAGTTAGGGTTATTGCGGAGCCGCGGCGAAGCGATTTGAGGATGCAGTTTGTAAGAACAATACCCAAGCACCTCTGTTGATGAGTTCAGCTCAGTTGTGCTTCCCATGCGTCTTATTCTCTCTTCCTCTCAGCGGTAAATCTGATCCGGCTCTCCTCAGAAACCCCCAATATCCTCCTACGGCGAGTCCGAGGACGTCATGCACAGATAAGGATACAGTTCTGCGTTTATTTGTGTGAAATTGTGTTGGGACGGGTTAAGGCGATTACATGGGGCAGCTACATGGGGTGTAGTAGTCGCGCGCTC